TCTCTTGATTGGTGACTTTGACACACATACACCTACCTCCTGGAGAGTGTTCTTGATCTGGCCAACTGTTGTGAAGGGTGTTTTCTTCACCAGGGAAAGAATTCTTCGGTCATCCACCACAGTTGTTTTTCCGTGGTCTTCCGGGTCTTTTGGTGTTGCTGAGCTCACCGGTGCGTTCCTTCTTTTTAAGAATGTTCCATACAGTTGTTTTGGCCACGCCTAATGTTTTTGCTATCTCTCTGATGGGTTTGTTTTGTTTTTTCAGCCTAATGATGGCTTGCTTCACTGATAGTGACAGCTCTTTGGATCTCATCTTGAGAGTTGACAGCAACAGATTCCAAATGCAAATAGGACACTTGAAATGAACTCTGGACCTTTTATCTGCTCATTGTAATTGGGATAATGAGGGAATAACACACACCTGGCCATGGAACAGCTGAGAAGCCAATTGTCCCATTACTTATGGTCCCTTAACAAGTGGGAGGCACTTATGCAAACTGTTGTAATTCCTACACTGTTCACCTGATTTGGATGTAAATACCCTCAAATTAAATCTGACAGTCTGCAGTTAAAGCACATCTTGTTCCTTTCATTTCAAATCCAATGTGGTGATGTATAGAGCCAAAAATGTTAGAATTGTGTCAATGTCCCAATATTTATGGACCTGACTGTAAATCCTGCATAATAATAATAAACCTTTTTAGGTAAATATTTTTTCTGGTGCTGCTGAAAACACCGTATGCAACCGGACTGTGCTGAATCCTTTGTGCTGCTAGACCCCATAGGAGTCTCAAGACCAAACTGCACCCTTTGTTTGGAAATTCACTTGCCAGTAATTGACATATGCTTAGATAAAGACAATGTTTGATTTATGTTTGAACTGACTGCTTGAAGCGCAATACTGTTGCATGAAAAAACATTTTTAACAAAAAGCATCCTGCAAAAGAAGAGTAAGAATGCTTATCTGACCTGCAGGCAGTGAATTCTACCTTTGCTCTCTTGTGGAGCTACCGCACAACAAAGAATCGGCAGCATCTAACACACTTCCGGGTATATTTGATGCCTGCTCCCTTGCTACATTCCATCACTAGAAGTGCCAGTAATTAACTACTTCAGCCCTGAAAGGTTTTACCCCCTTCCTGACCAGGCCATTTTTTTTGCTATTTAGAACTGAGCTACTTTAACTGGTAATTGCACGGTCATGCAATGCTGTACCCAAACTAAATTTATATCAATATTTTCACAGAAATAGAGCTTTTGGTGGTATTTGATCATCACTGGGTTTATTTTTCATTATATAAAAGCAAAAAGTGAAAGTTATAGCATCTACAAATGATGGTATATATACTGGATTTTTTTTTATGCTACTAATACCAGTGATCAGTGACGTATACAGGAACTGTGATAGTGTGAAGGGCAATTTGACACAGACACTGGGTGGGACTGACAATGACATCACTAGTTACACCAATACAGTGATAATACTATACACTGTCAGTGTACTAATTAAACTGTATGGGAGGTGGCTAACATCTTGGAATAATCAAGGGGTTAAGTGTGTGCCTATCAAGTGTTACTGTGTGTATTAAGTGCTGCTTTTTACTAATAATCTCTTTGTTCCTTCTCCATGTTTTGCAGGGAGAAGAAACAAAGAGATTATTCCCTTGGTACAGAGCCCTGTATTGATTGTCAACACAGGGCTCAGAGCTGTGATTGGACACAGCCAATCAGCCAGATTTTAATGTTGAGATCCGATGACAGATTTGAAAAAATGTATAAATAAATATCAGGGTCCTTGCTTCGCCAAGACATATGTTAAAATTGGAAAAAATACAGAGAAGATTTAGTACGGCCCCTGCGCATGGATGACACACAAATTCATGAAGCATTCCCCCTCCCATTTCTAACCCCCTTTTTTTCCTGTTTCTTTTTACAAGGGTGTTCAGAATCTGGAGACAGCTTCTCAACATCACTCTTTTTGAATATCTACTGGGCCTTTTTGAACAATATTAGGATATGATATTCAGATTTCATACTGCTATATGCCTTTAGAAGTACTATGGGGTGGATTTACTTACAAGAAATAAACTGTGCACTTTGCAAGTGCAATTGCACTTTTTGTTTCTTAGTAAATATCAAAGTGGTAAAGCTTCACTTTGTAATGAATACCCAATGAGGTACAAAGAAAATAAAAAAGAAAAGCATTTTTGTTTGCACAAGATTGGATGATGGAAATCAGCAGAGTTTTACCACATTTTCTAAGCTCTGGGGAAAATGAGTGCACTTGCAGAGTGCACAGTCTATTTGCCATTAGTAAATCAACCCCTGTGTTGAGACCTTTGGGGCTTTGTTCTTCAAATGGTATGGAAATGTGCTACTTGCTACACTCAACCTTATCATTTGTTATATTTTTCTGGGTGAAAATCAATAAAAATATTATAGAAAAAATATCAGGAAATCTTGTTCTCTGAGTCTGAGAGATACAACTATCATTTTAGTTAACATCACCAGTGGTAAGACAAAACTGAAATACCAGCTCTGGTGCCTTTAATTTTAAAAATTATATACTACAAAAAGGTGTAGTGTAGCAAGCTTGCGAGTTTTTAATGCCTTGCTTTTTTCTTTTTGTTATTAACTTCCCAGCTCCAGCTAAAGTGCCCTTGCCACTTAGTATTCTGTGCTTTCAATAACAACAGTGGTCTCTCTGCATTGGTCCCATACTCCCCCTGCTGTGTCATATTTAAAACACTCCAATAAGCATTGATTGCTGATCTGTAGGTCAGCAGGGGATGTGTCAAAACACTGCTGCTCTTCCACAGAGTGTAGTGGTCCTTCTCTGTAGTGGGAGACGAGGGGTTTTTCAACTGGGGCTAGTGGTAATTAAACAAAAATGATAAAAAAAATGTCAAGGCACAAAAAACTTGTGAAAACAATTTTTCTACACCTTGAGTTTTTTTTCTTTTGTAGCATTTGTTCTGTGACTTCAACTGGGCTTTGAGGTGAGTGGTTATAAATGCCTTCCATGCAGACCTACAAATGGAGCTTTTATTTCCCATTTTGTTTTTGCTGACCATACAAGCTAACTTCATAGAACAATCTTTGAACTCGATCGATACATTGTCTTTTCTTAGATGAACTCTGAATAGTGTATGTTGCCTCAGTGTAGTGGCAAGGGAAAGTTGATGGATATTGAATATCCCTAGAGAGGAAAGCAGGCTCAGTAATTACATTTTAATCAAGACTGCTCACTCTTTCCACAGTGACTGCTTTACCACATATTAGTGTTTATCTTTTTAGTAACCGCTTTGCTACTTGAAGTTATTTGTTACTTGCTCCTCTCTGTAATGGGAGAAAAATAAATGTTTATATCTGTATATTTATATAACATTCTTGTGACATTTAAAAATTAGAAGAATGAAATGAAAATTGCAAAACCCAAATTTAATAAAAATATTTACTTGTTTTAACAGACTACCAAAATTTTGCAAGTGCCCTTAACCCAATACAATGATGGTTTATTAAAACCTTTGGACCCATATTGGTGATCCTCGGTGTGCTGGTGACATTTTTTTCTTGCTGATTTTGTTCGGTTCCAGCCGAGGGTCACTGCAGCACCCACTTATACACACAGCCATTTTTAAACGCAGGAACGTGTGCGTTTGGATCATACACTAGCACTTAACCAGATACAAGACACTGTTTGGTGTTTGTGCCAACTGTGCTAATTAGAGATGAGCGAAGAAATGAAAAATTCGATTCGACTGATTCGGCGAATTCGTGGACAATATTCGATTCGAGTCGAATAAATTCGCTGTGAATTTAACTTAAAAAAGGGTGTTTCTAGGCTTCAGAGAGACTTAATATTAGTGCAGAACACTGTACCTTTAATTTAAATGCCCTTGGAGTCTGCTGGGGAAGAGAAATAATACTGTCAGTCAGTATGACATGCAGATGAGTGCCGTCGATCTTAGAATCACCGCACACACTTCACTCATTTGGGCAGTCACGGGGCCAAAACCAGAGTGTGGAGCCACAGTGTGGCGGTGGAGGCAGCAGCAATGGGAGGCCATACAGCACCCTATGACAAAAATGGAAACCACCAGCAGTGTGAGGAGACCTGAAAGTGGCACATGGCAGAGTGTGGCGATAGAGACAGCAGCAATGGGAGGCCGTACAGGGACCCATGACACACTCTGGACCTGGCAGCAGCATGAGGAGGCGGTACAGGGGCCCATGACAGATTACGGGCCTGGCAGCAGCATGAGGAGTCGGTACAGGGGCCCATGGCAGATTACGGGCCTGGCAGCAGCAATGGGAGGCCGTACAGGGACCCATGACACACTCTGGACCTGGCAGCAGCATGGGGAGGCGGTACAGGGGCCCATGACAGATTACGGGCCTGGCAGCAGCATGAGGAGTCGGTACGGGGGCCCATGACACACTCTGGACCTGGCAGCAGCATGAGGAGGCGTACAGGGGCGCATGACAGATTACGAGCCTGGCAGCAGCAACTTGGACAGGAGGACGTTCAGCTTCTGCACCGTCGGGTGCGTGCTCGCAAACTGTTGTCTCTTGGAAACGGATTCCAAGAAAGACTGCTGACGGAATCCGTGAAGAGGAGTAGCAGGAGAAGGAGCATCTGAACGAGCGGAATATGCCAACAAGCGACAACAGTGGCCCATGACAGATTACGGGCCTGGCAGCAGCATGAGGAGTCGGTACGGGGGCCCATGGCAGATTACGGGCCTGGCAGCAGCTATGGGAGGCCCGTAATCTGCCAGCACCCTATGACAAAAAATGGAACCCACCAGCAGTGTGAGGAGACCTGAAAGTGGCACATGGCAGAGTGTGGCGATGGAGACAGCAGCAATGGGAGGCCGTACAGGGACCCATGAGAGACTCTGGACCTGGCAGCAGCATGAGGAGGCGGTATAGGGGCCCATGGCAGATTAGGGGCCTGGCAGCAGCTATGGGAGGCCCGTAATCTGCCAGCACCCTATGACAAAAAATGGAACACACCAGCAGTGTGAGGAGACCTGAAAGTGGCACATGGCAGAGTGTGGCGATGGAGGCAGCAGCAATGGGGCCGTACAGGGACCCATGAGAGACTCTGGACTTGGCAGCAGCATGAGGAGGCGGTATAGGGGCCCATGGCAGATTAGGGGCCTGGCAGCAGCTATGGGAGGCCCGTAATCTGCCAGCACCCTATGACAAAAAATGGAACACACCAGCAGTGTGAGGAGACCTGAAAGTGGCACATGTTTGGGGCATGATTCATGGCGGATTTAGTCAGTTGTGTCAGGAACTGGTGGTTTGAAATCCAGACTAATCCACGCCTGATTCATTTTCACAAACGTGAGTCTCTCCACACTTTGGGTGGACAGTCGTGTCCTCCGCGGAGTTGCAATACCTCCTGCCGCACTAAAACACGCGCTCCGATGCCACGCTACTGGCCGGGCATGACAGCCTTTCAAGGGCAAATTCAGCTAGTTGGGGCCAAAGGTCAAGTTTCGTTGCCCAGTAGTCAAGGGGATTGTCTACCTCGGTTGGCAGGGTGCTGTCCAAGTAGGCCTAAGCCTGTTGTTTGAGCTCCTGCTCCAGGTCCACCTGATGCTGCTGCTGCTGCTGCTGCGGCTGGTTAGTAGTTTTCCTCACTGCGCTGGTGAAGAAAGCTACTCATCATCGACTGCAGACTGAGGCAGCCGCTGCTGGTGGAGCTGCCACTGCTCCTACCACCCCACCCCTCCCCTGCTGCCATGGCAGCGGAACACGAGCGCACAGGGCCCACAGTGTCTGAGGATGGACGTTGGCGCAGACAGGCAGAGACCAGCTGACTACATAGGTGTTTTTTTATAGTACGTTATTTTGGCCTCCCTCTCAGCAGGTGTGAAAAAGGCCACCATTTTTGAACGGTAGCGAGGGTCCAACAAGGTGGACAGCCAAAAGTCATCCCTCTGTCTGATGGTTATTATTCGGCTGTCGCTACGCAAGCAACCGAGCATGCTATGGGCCATTTGTGCCAAGGAATGCGAGGGACTCCCTGCCTCCATCTCCACAGCATACTGCCACGGTGCGTCTAGGTCCTCTGTCTCCTCTTCCTCCTCCTCTACCAGATGCTCCTGCTCCTCCACTCCTGTCCGCTGAGTGGAAAAACCACCCATTTCACTCAATAATTCCTGAGCACCAATGTCCTCCTCTACCTCCTCCTCTTCTTCCAGTCCTGCCCCCACAGGGGCCATGTGGCGTTGAGATCTGTGCGCCACGTCTACCGCACCCTGACCAGCCATTGTTAACAGCATTTGTTCCAGGACGTGCAACAGAGGAATGACGTCGTTCATCCCATCATAGTCCTGCCGACTCACGAATAGCGTGGCCTCCTCAAAGGGCCTGAGCAAGCGCAGGTGTCACGCATGAGCTGCCAATGGCTGACATCTAAGTTACACAGGGAGTACCTTTATCTGCTTTTAACATCAGGAAATCTGTGATGGCCTTTTGCTGTTCGTAAAGGCGGTCTAACATATGTAGGGTTGAATTCCACCTTGTTGCAACGTCACAGCATGAGGAGTCGGTATAGGGGCCCATGGCAGATTAGGGGCCTGGCAGCAGTTATGGGAGGCCCATAATCTCCAGCACCCTAAAATGACAAAAAATGGAACACACCACATGTGATGAGAACTACCTAAAGGGCACAATGAGAGTGTGGCGATGGAGACAGCAGCAAGATGGGAGGCCGTACAGTGGACCCATGAGAGACGTGGACCTGGCAGCAGCAAATGAGAGGCGGCTGCAGCAAGCAGCAATGGTCAGGCCGTACAGGGACCCATGACGAGACTCTGGACTCAGGCAGCAGCTATGAGGAGGTCGTATGAGGGGCCCATGGCAGATTAGGGGCAGCAGCTTATAGGAGGGCCTGTAATCTCCAGCACCTCCTATGTCACAAAAATTCAAAACACCAGACAGTGTGAGGAGACCTCTGAAAAGTGGCACATGGCAGAGCCTGTGGCGATGGAGAACAGCAGCAATGGGAAGGCCGTTATCAGGAGACCATGACAGACTCTGGGACTCTTGGGCTGCAAGCATGAGGAGGCGGTTAGGGCCCATGGCAGATT